ATTATTGTCCTCCGTTAGCTGTTTTCCATTTTTTGGAAAATTTGTAGCTAGTTATTGACATTTTGGTGGTTTTATGAGGTTTTATCTGAGAATTGGGAACCAGCGTCTATTTCTTTGAGGAGGTCTGGTTACCAAATTAAGATGGGAAACACAGATGCGGTTGTAATTGCTGAGAAATATTCAAGGGAGTTATCGGTATGTCCTTATTAACATTAGTTACCGATGAGGGCGCCAACAAGTTTCAATTATATTTTCATATATACCAAAGTTTTATTTTGTTTCTTTACTATATATTTGTGGATGCAGTTGAAAATTCCCCCTGGGATGTCAACACAATTTGTTTTGACGTGTTCTGATGGATCATCTCTTCCCTTTAATGCGTATGATGTTAGGTAATGTTTCCATTCACTTAGAGATTCATTTGTATTCTGTGAAGCATCCCTGGTTGGTCCAATGTTCTAAGATTAACCATAAAACTTAGGCTTATTTATATCATGACCTGTTTATCTCTTTAAAATCATCTATAATCAACAAGAACTGAGCTATATACTTGTCTTGAGTTTCAGAATTGCATGTTTCTTAAATAGTTACAGTCTACTATAGTGCTGATTTTTCTTGTAGGATGCGGGATACACTTGTGTTGACCTTGAGAATGTTCCAAAGCAAGGTATTCTCTCGACCAAAATCTACTAGATAAGGATCAATATGTGGACACCATTAACGATGCTTAAGATCCCACATCGGTTGGAGAGGAGAACGAAGTATTCTTTATAAGAGTGTGGAAATCTCTCCCTAGCGGACGCATTTTAAAAAACCTTGAGGGGAAGCCCGAAAGGGAAACCCAAAGAGGACAATATCTACTAGCGGTGGGCTTGAGCCATTACATATTTACTCTCTATGTAAATCAAGGCCGAGTTTGAGTAGCATGCTGCATGCATCTCTCCTCTTTTTTTTTTTTTTCCTTCTAATCTGTGCCGTTACCCAATTTGATTAACTTGCAAGAGACTAAACACGCTCTAACATTAGTTCTAGGAGACCACAAAAGTTTTCTTTGATTAAGGAATCTGCCCAAAGGCTCAAATCATGGAGCTTGGGTGATAAGCCTCCCTAAAGCCTCCTCTTGTGGATGTTGGGAGACTTTGTGTTCTTTCACACAGTTCTTGTCTAAAGAGTTTTCTGCTTTTGTTTTCAAATACTTTTTCAAGAACTGTAATCGACCAACTTGTAAAAAGGCGTTAAACCCGAGATTTTGAATGATTAAATAACTTCTGGGGCTTTAGAAAAACAATGTCTGTGGGAACAACAAGCTGTAGGAAATATAGAGAACAAATTTTTGTGTCGATACTCATCATATATTCTTCAAGCTTTTAGACTGAATCTCATATATTCTTCAAGCAGGCAATGGACGATAGAAGGAAAGGAAAATCATAGACCGAACTCATTCGTCGTTCAAGTATTGGGTCGATACTCATCATTCATTCATTACGCAAACGAGATGTAATTGAATTCGGGAGTCGATCCATCATAGTTTTTACCAATAAATCAAATAAATCATAAAGGTTTGCTCTTGCTGCTCTTTTTGCTCTTACTCTTTTATAGACACAAATGCATATATAGTCTCTTCCCTGTTAGTTTCTTGCTCACATTCATGACGAAGCCTTCAACCTTATTTTGGTGTAATTGTAAGTGGAAGGAGTGAAAAGAACTGTCTTTTTTACTGTACAAACATTATTGATAAATTATAGGCCCATGGAATGATCCCTTTTTTGACTTTGTATTTCTTGATTGAGACTCTTAGTTAGTACCCCTTGGTTTTGGGTGGTCCCCGTTCACTCTATTTTCCATGAAGAACGGTCATTTTTACATCGAGTTGGTGTAGTGATCAAGATCTGTTAGCTGCAACTGACAGAATGACTTGTATGGAATTCTTTTGAGTTTGATTACGGAAGGAAAAGTCTCGAAATAATTTATGTCGTAGGTTTGTGTCAAACCTTTCGTCACAAGACAAGCCCTCTCGATAGAGCCATCTTCTTTGTGTTTTAGGATATATGGTGCTTAGAGCTATCATCTTTGTGTTTCAAGGTATATGGAGTTCGAAAGAACCATCATCTTTATGTTTCGGAATATATGTCCACAGCCAATCGTACGTCTGCCTAGGACAATGCCTCTGTTTGTGTCATCATTATATATATAGGACTTTGACTTATTGAGATTAAAAAAAAAATGTATGGTTGTTACAATTTGCCTTTGAGTATTGCTTACTTTTATTTTCGGTTTCTGAGTTTTCAAACTCGATATTTATTAGTCAATTCAAATGATAAATTATCAGTTTACCAGTAATATTTAAAAGATTTATTTATTAAACCATAATGAAAAGGTTCTAACGGTAGTAAAAATTAAATCAATTGTAATAAGGGTAAATTCTTTTTTAGGGTATTTACTTTGAGTTAATTGGAACGATAATCATAATTAATTGGTGTTGTTTACTAATATTTGGAAATGGAATGAAATATGAACGACTATTAGAATGTATTTTTATATTTTAATTAATTAAAATGTAGTAACTAAAGAATATACTATAATAATTAAAATGGATTTTTTTTTTCAAATTTGTTTATACTTTAAAACACATTTAGTGTTGTAATTATAATTTTTCGATCGAAATTTGTAACTGCCATCCAAACTCGTTGCTAGCAGATATTGTCTGCTTACGTATCGCCTCAGTCTCACGGCTTTAAAATGTGTTTGTTAGGAATAAGTTTCCACAACTCACCCAGTCTACTTTGATACCGTTTGTAACAACTCAAGCTGACTACTAGCAAATATTGCTCTTTTTGATCCATTACATATTGTCTTCACGGTTTTAAAGTGCATTTGTTATGGAGAAATTTCCAAACTCCTATAAAAAAAATATTTCGTTTTCCTCTCCATCCGACATGAGATCTCACCCAAATATTATTATTATTCGTCATATCAAACAAAACAAATGAAAGAGATCGAAAAAAAATTGAAGAAATTTTAATAAAACCATAAAAATAATTATGGATTTTTTCAACCTAGATAAATTCAAAATTATAATCATATTTAGAGATATCATTTTCATTACAAGTAAACTATCATTGTCATAAATATATATATATATATATATATATATATATATATATATATATATAATCAATTTTGGTTCAAAATATTTATATTAAATAATCTTAAAATATGAATAAAATAGAAGGAACCAATCTAATTATTGGTTATAATATATAGTTCGATAATTTTTAAACTATAAATAATTAAAATAATTAATAATTTGATTAATATTATTATTTCAAGTTCAATATTTTGTAAATTAATTTTATAAAACCTATATAAAAAAATATATAATTTATATTTTCTTGGAATTAAATTATCTTCCACATAGGCAAATTTCTGGAAGTCTCCTCTCGTTCAACTACCACACCAATAAAAACTAGCCACGTCACACACTCACGTGATTGCACGTGATGGCTTCCATCTGATATGAGCTTCGGTAGGAAGCCTGTTTTTTTCTTCTTTTTTTTTTCCGAGCTGATATATTTAATTATTATAATGTGACAAAAATGTCTATTAATAATAAAATTTAATATTATTATTATAAAATAATAATATATGGTGAGATTATCTTTTTATTTAATTGAATCTTTATTTTAATATTAAATTATTTTGTGATTGAGATTTAGAGAGAGAATCAGAGTCACAAAAATCCATAATATGATTTGATAATAATTGGAGTTTAAAAAATAATATAAAATTAGGTTTCAATAAATGGGGTTATTGGGGAAGGTTTATTATATTATAATCACCTGAGACAAAATTGTGAAAATATAAAATAATATTAATTAATTATATCTTATTAATATTTAAATATTTTAAATTATGCTTATAATCTCATGTAAAGTAAATATTAATCAATAGAGATTGGGTATAAATATAGCATGAATTGATAGGAAGAGAATTTTTATGGTTCCAATGGGTTTGTCTTACCTAAATTCACCGACTTTTCTTTCTTAAGCTTACGGCTATTTTGATTGTTGTGCTTTCTCAAATTGCATACCTATACAAGAGTTCAGGTTTCGATCGGTGTTTACGGAGTTGATTGTCCTTCTCGAAAAGGCAAATTTCAATGGTCTATAACACGAAGATCTCTCGTAGTCAATCTATTTCTATAAAAAATCTGACTAAAAGGAATTGATCGACTCAACACTCAACCTATACGGTTTGAGTTGGATTATCAACTTATTTGAATTGGGTTGAGTTGTTCGGGTTGAAAAACTTACAACCCTATTCTAGTCGAAAAATTTACAACCCAACCCACCAACTCAGAGTTCACCGATATTTGAAAAGTTGATTATCTTCCTCGAAAACGCAGATTTCAGTGATCTATAATTTATTGAGTACTCGGTGTATAACTCGCGCAATCGTGTACAACCAGTGCATACGAATTAACACGAATTTCTCCGATAGTCAGTCTATTTCCATAAAAAAAATCTAACTCAAAAAATTTGATCAGACTCAACACCCTACAGGTACGGTTTGAGTTGAATTGGGTTGAGTTGTTCGGGTTGAAACATTTACAATCCGGCCCACCGATTTGGAGGTTCACCAAACTTTATGAAACTCACGCCAACACTCAAATAAGTTGATAATCCAACTCAAACTGTACAGGTTGGGTGTCGAGTTATTCGGGTTGAAACATTTACAACCCGACCCACCGACTTGGAGGTTCACCGAGCTTTATGAAACCCACACCTACACTCATCTTCTTCCCTTCGTCAAAGGAAAATTTGATATCATTTAGCTTTGCGTGAAACCTAATCTCTCACACACAAGGAATTTAGACAAACCAATATTGACAATATTTCTTTGTTGAAGAAGGCATGTTTTTTAAGAACAAGACTTGAAAAAGAGAAAAGTAAAAGGAAAGGACAAGGATTGAAGAGAGAGAGAGAGAGAGAGAGAGAGAGAGAGAGAGAGAGGATAGCTGATATAACAATTTCCAACCTCCTCCTCCAACTTTACTTTCCTTTGCATCCAAGTCCCCCCAATTTTGGTCTCTTTTTCTTCTGCCCTCCACACCCTTCAAAACACTCTCTCTCTCTCACTCCTCTTCCTTTTCTCTCTCTCTCTCTCCTACCACATAAACATATGAAAAAAGAGAGAATAGGGGTACCTGCAAGATCTACGAGTGGCAGAGGAGAATGGGTTCTGTGGGAAACTCAAATCAATGGCAGCCATATGCATACAGGGACTGTTCTTTAGAGATTTGCAGCATATATTGCCCTCAGTGGTGTTACATCATCTTCCCACCACCTCCACCTTTTGGCTATGGAGCCAATAGCGATTCTGGCACTGATTTCTCCCCTCTTATCATAGCCATCATTGGAATCTTGGCCAGCGCCTTCATTTTGGTAAGCTACTACACCATCATCTCCAAGTATTGCAGGAACAGAGCTACCACCTCCAACTCCAACATGGAAATGGATGATGAAGAAAATCTTTCTCAAATCCGCCATGAAAACCAGCTCCAAGCTCCTCCTCCTCCGGCAGGCCTGGATGAGGCTCTCATCAACTCCATCACAGTCTGCAAGTACAAAAGAGGAGATGGGTTAGTTGAAGGCACAGATTGCTCAGTTTGTTTGAGTGAGTTTGAAGAAAATGAGAGCTTAAGGCTTCTGCCAAAGTGCAGCCATGCCTTTCATCTTCCTTGTATTGACACATGGCTCAAATCTCACTCAACTTGCCCTCTCTGCCGCTCCAACATCTCACCCATCAATCTTTTCCCACCCCCAACTCAGGAAATTCAAAGAACAGAACATTTAAATTCATATAATTTTCAGTATCAGCACAGAAGCAATGACACAGTAGTTGTTGTGGTGGTTCAAGATTTGCCGGATTTAACAGTCAGCAGCCAAGAAACTGCTGTTTTGGGGCTTGAAAATGATGGTGTTTCTTCCAAGAATCAAAGGCAAAGTTTTGTATCAGATAATCAAGATTCAGAGCCGAGAGACATCATGATTCATCAAACAAGACAAGATGATGCTGTTCAGCCATTTAGAAGGTCAGTTTCCTTGAATTCTTTATCATGGCAAGGGCAGGTTTCTGTTGCTGATATACTGAGAGCCAGTCAAGATAGCGAGGAAGAGGTAGAAGAAGATGAATTACAAATGGGGATTGGATCTTCAAAAGCATTTGTTCAAGAGGATTGCCATTCCAGAGTTTCCAACTTGGAAATGCATAGATCTATCTCAACTGGGAAGCTGGGTTTTACAAATTATGGGAATTGGAAAGGGAAGAGTTGCATCATTCCCGATTGAAAGTAGATTCACAAACTGTACAAAATTTGAAAAAAGAAATCACTCTTATTTTTGTAATATATTGGTGAAATCACAGAAGAATCCCAGATTTATACCAGATTAGCAAACAAAATGAACTAAATTTGAACATACATTTCACAATTTACAAGCCTCTTCAAAGAAGTTACTCATGGATCATATTCTGTAAAAGCTTTAGTAAAGAATTCCTCTTTTCTTTTCTGTTCTTTTTGGGATATTGCTGAGGGTAGCTGATCAGAATTGTCTGAACCAGTTGAGTTCTACACGTTTTTAACCCAAGGAAGTGTGTTTCTGAAGCCTAAGAATTGTCTCAATGATTAGGCATTTTCTACTGTCAATTATGCTCGTTTCACTTTGTTGCGGTATGCAGAGTTGTCAGAATCTATGCAGGACTATCAAATTTCACTTCGTTAAACTTTATTGCAATATTTAAATTTTAAAATTTATACTCTATACTATTCTTCCAAATCAAAACATGTCTCAGCAGAAGTACTGATATCAGATACTAACATAAAGAAAAGCCATCTAAATCAGACAAAGCATAAGTACCATATCTATATAATAAGGAAAAAGAAAAGTTGCACAAATTAATAAAGTAAAGAACTAGAAATACAGGCAAACTACATTGCCTAAATCTCAACCTCCATTTCTGAGGCTGAGATTGATGCTTTATCAGATGGGTTTACTCTTGATTAAACCATTTCAACTATAATTAGAAGGAAAAATGGTCTCAAGTTAGGTGCATACCTGTTGACAAATAGCTTACTTCCTCAATATCTCAATGTTTGGAGAACGAAGATGTTGGCCTAAACTTTTCAGATTTTGATTTGAAACCCAGAAGGAGAGAGAGAGAGAGGGGTCATACCTTGATTGGCTAAACTGGCGTGCTGAAAGATACATCTCAACTTTGAAAAAGATTGAGGGAATTTTGCTGAAAATGGACCACTGGGTATCCTTCCATCATTGTCACCAGAATTCTGACCCCTTGCTTGAATATTTATTGATTTTGGAGATACTAAAGGAGGCAAAATGCATAATAACAACTCCAATTCTAAGTACCTTTTCCTATATCATTCTACTTCTCCTTTTTCACTGAACTATGTGGTGATTGTTTAAGAAATAACCAATAAGATACATGCACTTAGTTATTATCACTGGTATCTCAGTGAAGTGCTCTATGAAGCATCATTCTTATTCTATCAAAAAAACTTCAATAAACTCTGTTCTTTTTGTCGACAATTCCAAATCTGCATGTTGTAAGGTAAATGACATGATGCTGGAAAAGCAAGGTGGCAAAAGAACAGTTACCTTGGGGAAAATTTTGGCTTGATGCCCATAAACTAGGAGATTTATTCACTAAAATAGGGCCATTAGAATGATAATGCAGAAGCATGTAATCAAATAATTACAGAAGAGTTTATGGATGGATCAGTTGTCTGTTAGTCAAGGCCATAGTTTTGGATGAACCTTTTTCTTTTTAACTTGGCAATTGCAGTTGTTCATCTTGTTTATGCAACCAAACTTCCTCTTCATTTCTCTCCACATGCTTGTCTTCTCCTTTTTCACCATGTGGATGCAGCCTTCCTCAATCTCTTTCCTCATCATATGACATTCTTTCTCTAGTTCCATCACTTTGTTGCTCATTTTCTCCATTTCACTTTTTTGTACTCCATCATTTAAGGCCAACTCTCTTTCGTCCTTTTCGACCTCGTCCTGTGTCAATCTGTTGTCAGGACCCTGCATCTCCCTCGTGATCGCATCGCGGAGTTGCAATTGCACCAAAAATAGCACTTGGACCACTATCCTTAATGGCAATCGCTGATTCTTGGCTGCGTGTTCACAAGTTTCAGCCGACATCCTATGGTAGTCCAGCCCTCTGCACACTTCTTCTTTTTCAGATTCAGTCAAGTAGCTATGCTTGTCCAGGTATATATCTATAGCCCTGTATATTCCATCGGAGCTCCTATCAGTTCCCATTGACGCTGCACTTGACATTTCAACTAATGAAACAAATGCACTTATCTCCAAATCTCTGTCACTGGCAACCTCAATCAAAAACTCCTCAATGAGTCTCGCCACCGCAGTTAGTCCTTCCATATTTGAGTTATAATCTCTATAGAAGTGCTTTATAATCCGCTTCACGCACTCGATATCGTAATGCATTTCCTTAGCGTAGTCTCGAGAAGGTATTAAAAGATCACTTGCTGTAGCTTGATCAAGCTGCTTTCCTATCCTCAACTCGAGTCCATTCCTACAGCCAACATTAGCTTCCAAATGAATGGCAAAACGAAGCATTTCAAACAGTATTGTGCAAGGAAATAGTCCCTTCTGATGAGGCAGTAGCCTCTCCACTGCTTCCATGACTTCCCTCTGATGGTTTGTTTTGCATACCGACATTTTTTTCTCTCCTTTAGCACTGCAAAAAACCCACTTCTTTGCATACTTCAAAAGGGATGCAGCTACAAATCTCGGCGGTACAGCATGCTGGTTCATAGAATGAATGGTTAATTCATATAACGAAAGAGGCAGAATTGTCAAATCCTCCGACTGCCACTCAGAAACAAAGAGCTTTCTTCTTGCACTGGGCTTGTGATGAAACTCATCATCCTCACTGAGTTCATCATTTACAAAATTCACAAGCGGTTCACCGAGGAGGTATGGATCATTCACTGCCTTACAAACCAAAGACTCAATACATTCACCAACAAGGCCTGTATCCACTGCCTGTTGTATGATATCTTCTGTTGTAAGAAAAGCCTTAATAGTTTCATTCCAGCAGGGGAGGATTCTCTGTTCAAAGAAGGTAACTGCTTTGCTCAACAGATTATTTGGGCTGTGACTTTCAGTCATCCCCAGATAGAAAGCAAGACATGCTAAAGGAAGCACATTCTCACATGACATTTGCAGTTCAAACCCATGGCAGAACCTTGCAACAAGTTCAAATGTCTTAGGATGAGCTGGTATGTTTCTGAGGAACTGATAGATACTGTCATCGGATTGCTCGTTCAGTATCTCCACGATCTTGGCCGACTTTTCTACTATGATATCCTGTAGAAAAACTATAAAGATAACTAAAAGATCACAGAGATTTGAGCAAAACAAATATGTATCTGAATCCAGACTCCCAGATTCTCACCCTTTCCAAAGTAAAGGGCACCCCACGGACATGGAACTGCATATCAATTCTAGATTTAGGCTTAGGCAACCTGCAAATCAGAATCAAGACGAGCGACCATTTCCAAACAACTAAATCAGTGCAAAAGAAAGAAAACAAAAGGGTTAGATAAACGCGTAGAGATCAACGAATTCATTACCAATAGGAGACATCCTTGTCTGATTTGTCTACCATGTTTTGGAGATTCTTCAGTATAATCTATAAAAGAAGAAAAAGAATAGTAAGTTCTTAAGTTTTTTTCTCTTTCTAGTTTCTATAAATCAGAACTTTGTAGTTCAAAATACAGGAATTTCCCTCTCAGGTCACTACAGACGCAATGATTTCCCGAAATTGCAATCGTCATTCTTCCTAATGTCTCGATTGAAACAACAATACTCGAAATACACTCTACCGGCTTCGACGCAGCGACATTTTGAGAGTTTATGGAATTCAAATCACGATAACGAACAAATTAGCTAGCTATATAAAGGCCTAAATAGAAACATTCAACAGAAAAAAAAAAAAAAAGAAGAAGAAGAAGAAGAGTACGAGCGATCAAAATGCTGAGGATTACAGCAATTACCGAACCGATTCTTCTTCCTGTGCAACAAATCACAGCAAGAACTGATGAAAACCACATTGAGAACTGAATCTAAAAAAAATCAAAATTCATCCATGGAACGACAATCTGCATTGGATTGAAACAAAACTTACAAATCAAATGTGGACATCTGAAATCTTTGTGTGTATTTGGACTTGGTCATAGAGAGAGAGAGAGAGAGAGCGTACAGAACTTGGAATTTTTCAACAGAAGAAGGAAGAGAGAGCAGAGGGGAAGATGAAGCAAAACTAGTGGAATTCTGTTAGTTGAAGTGAGAGTGTAGTAATTCACTTTGTTTTGTTTTCTTTCAAATTTAAATATTATTTCCTTTGAATGTTTGACATTTAATTATTATTATTTTACTTTTAGCCTCCACGGCTAGTAACTAATGTCTCGTTTATTTACTAATACTTGGCTAGTGGTCTACCGATAAGTTCATTTTGAACTTGGATGCAGTATATTGTCCTCTCTTGAGCTGTTATAAATGGTATCAGAGCTAGACATCGAGGCAGTGTGCTAGCGAGGATACTGAGCTCTAAATGAGAGTGGACACAAGACGATGTGTCGTCAAAGACACTGAGGCCTAAAGGGAGATGGACTGTAAGATCCCATATCGTTAAGATATTAAAAAGAGAGTAGTTTTCTAAAGAGCCTCAAAACATGAACAAAAAGCAGCAAACAGTACCGATAACAAACTCATTATTACGGTAAGTTTCTTGATATATTATATACATTTTTATTTGGCTAGGGTCAACTCGAAGATTTTGTCTCATGAACTCGAAACCGAACCGAGCTAATTCGGGTTTAGAAAAATGAACCCAACCCAATCCAAAATACTAATCCAACCCAACCCAACCCTACCATTATAGTTCAGGTTAAGTTAGTCCGGGTTGTCGGGTTGAATGTAGTCCCTGGTGAGGTATAGGCTAATTTCTTCTAAATTTGTCCTAGTTTGGGCCGATCTCCAACTAAGCCCAACAAACCCAAGCTCATGAAAATGGGCTTTAAAACCCGAAACCAAAGTTGGGCCAGAAACGAATTTAGTATTTTGTCGGGGGCTATATAATCAGCTAGAGAAAAACTAGGGTTTCCCCGCTTGGCCGTTCAGTCTCTGCTCCAGCGTCTCTGCACCAGCGTCTCTCCAGAGGTATCCTTGTTGCTCGAAGGTTTCAACAATGGTACTATATCTCTCTTACGGATTTCATGATTTTCTTTACTACTTTCTTGTTTCTGGAAATTTGAAGTTCTTTTAGAAGGTTCCAAGATGAGAGATGATGTCTGTAGTCTGTAGGATTAATAATTAGCGAGGAGAGATTAATGATCTAGAATCGAAAGCTTGAGGTTCGTTCTTCTGATAAATGAAACGTTGGGAAGGAAAATAGGTCGCTCTGTGGTAGAGGATAATCAATTCGGTTTCATGGATCTCACGTAGTTAAAGCTTGATTTAATCTAGCAAATAGGTTAGGTAATTTACGGTTATCCGTTTTTCTTTGATTTTGTATATTTTCACTACCGGTCTACATCCAGTTCTATTCGAAGAGAGAATTGAACATGTCCTGATAGGAGTTCTTTGGGACGATTGTTCACTGAATATATATATATATATACACACACACACACATATATGGTACGTATTCTGTAGCGATTTCTAACTTGTGCTTATTTTGATTTCCTGTGTAATCGCAGACGAAGAGAACCAAGAAGGCTGGCATTGTCGGCAAATACGGTATGTGCTAACATCGTATGCTTGTACTAGCAGTGAAATTTAATCTGTACTCCTTATATTAGGGCAACTGGTGTGAGTTGTGGATTGATAAGAGATTATTGAATGATGATTTCTAAAGAAGCGCTGCCTTCAACGACGTTAACATATGGCTTGATTAGTTGCGCAATAGTTTTAAATTGATTGGGAGCTTTTCAAGAGCCTCCTGTTCCTCTATCCTTTGCTGTTCATGTTTGTGTACATTATGTTATGCTTAGTTATGTTTGTAATTGGTTTATTATCTGTCTTCTGTACCAGGTACCAGATATGGTGCTAGTTTGAGGAAGCAGATTAAGAAGATGGAAGTCAGTCAGCACAGCAAATACTTCTGCGAGTTCTGTGGAAAGGTAAGTTTATTTACTCAGCTTTTACTTTACTGCTATTTGGGTTACAAGTAGTTCCATGCAATGTTTTAAAAGGCCACCTTGAGGTGATATGAGGCATAAGCCTCAATTTTTTTATGATATCTTTAACATCATTACTGCTATAATGTTTTTAAAGCTTAATTATTAAATGAAGCAATAGTGAAGATTGTTACCACTCGAACTTTTATATTATAGAGAATGAGGCAAAATTAGTGTAGAGACTTTAATCCTCGGTGCATTTTGATAGGATGTGCAAGTCCCGAGGCCAAAAGTTAGTCTTCCTTTGAGATAAGCCTTAATAGCCTTTTAAAACGTTGTTTCCATGACAATGCTAGAGTGTAAACATACTGATAAATGACTTTAATGTTGGTCTCGATTGCAAATTTTCCGGTCCAAATACCGCGGTGACATGGTTTACGATGTATCTTCCATAAAAATGTAATATCATTGGATCGATCAACTCCTTTTCCTATTTATAGAAAACTACTTGCCATCAGTATAACAATTCTCTGAACTTCTGATAAAAGATGACATTTCGGTGGTACTTGTTAAATTTCAAGATTCAAATCAATGACTTCTGTCTCAAACTCTTAACAGTATGCCGTGAAGAGGAAGGCTGTTGGGATATGGGGTTGCAAGGACTGTGGAAAGGTGAAAGCCGGAGGTGCCTACACATTGAAGTGAGTAGATTTAATTGGTTCTTGTTATGCAATGCTATTTGTGCTTTCAAACCCAGTTCAAGGTTTTGATTTTGTTTCTTTGTTTTGGGCAGCACTGCAAGTGCCGTGACCGTTCGGAGCACGATCCGAAGGTTGAGGGAACAGACAGAGAGTTAAGTTTAATTTAGATTTTGTTTTTCTTCTGTCTTCAGTTTAATTTAGTGGTCTGTGATAGTGTAGAGTTTTTTGGAAGCAATTTGAGTACCCATTTGACTTCGTTTGAAGCTGAGATTCCAGAGCTTTTAAACTTTAGCTGCTCTCTGCTCTCTTGGCCACATTATTTTTAATCATTCTGGATTTTGAGACTGCAACATCTTTGCTTGCCTTCCAATATTGTTTATTTTTTGGTCAACTGCATCACATCACTATCGGGCGTTATTTAAGTGAAAAATGCCTCGGACGTCTAGAGTGTGTCGGGGAAGTCTTCCTTGTCTCTATCCTGGTCGGGGGAATTAGGAAATTTTTTTATCAATAATTCTATTTTCTAATATAATTTCTATTAAGAGCATAAAACATCCTTATGAATCCTTAATATTTTATGAACATATATTCAATGTTCTAACATGGTTTTTACAATAGTTCATTTCATCTACAATAATATTTATTCATTATAATTAAAAAAAAGTATAAATAGGAGTTTGGACATGGTTATATACAGACGTTAGGTGTTTTTGAATCGGGAAATGTGCAATTTTGTTGATCTAATTGATGGTATTATATGTTTATCATTATATTTAAAATTTGAGCGAATTGTAACTTTGTTATATAAAAGAATGTTCTTTATCCTTACCTACGGTGTTAGGATTCAAACTTCATACCACCGTTAATGATATTTTTTTATTTTAATATGCCACTAAATCTTACAGGTATGCTTACTTTCTTATTTAATTTAATAATTACCTCTAAATTTTTTTATTTTGGGTGAAATGCATAAAATTATATAAAATCATTATATTATGCATTCATTACATAATACCTTTAATATAAAAATAATATATTATTATATTGGACCATCTGCTTGAGATGTTCGAGTCTCTGTGCCCCGATTTTGGAGTTTGAAAGACCTATTAGAGTTGAAAGGAGTATTAGAGTTGAAAGGAGATGACCTGATCCAATAGAACACCTTGAGAGACAAAAGAAAATGGTGCTGATTAGGCATGCAGAGTGTGATGTCCTTCTCAAAAAAGTTAATTAATTATCAATATATATTATGTTAACTTGAATAATTTAAAGGGATAGAGATGTATATCCAATCCGATAAATCAGAGCAACTCAACCAAAATTATATGAGTTAGGTCGGGTTGGGTTATTTCTTGAGTTCGAATTGACTCGGTTCGATTTTGGGTTCATAGGAAAAAAACCTCAGGTTAACCCGAATCGAACAAAACTTATAAAATACATTAAAAAGTTTAGCGTATTCATGAGTCTGTCAGAATAGTAATAACTTACTAGAACAATTTTATCGTTAAAAAGTTTATTAAAATTGAATAAAATTTTTTAATATAGCATTGATAAATTAGGGCTAAATTTATTTATATACTATAAAAACTATTTTTTATTTTGATTTGATTAAATATATATAACCTAAATTATAATAAAATTGGCCGAAAATGCTCTTAGATCCACTCCGAGAGCCTGTTGGGCCCTTCAGAAGGAAAGAGCCCAACGCGCACTTGCATGCTCTAAAATTGTCCCACATCGAAAAAGTGTAGGAAGAGGAGAGGTCGGAAGCAGTATATAAAGGAAGGAACTACAACCGATGCAACATACTTACCTGGACGGGGTCAATGGGTGATCATGAAGACTCATGGCCTAGGTTGGTGACCTCCATTGCACTTAGGAGGGGTGCCCGCCTAAGGTCTGCCCAAAGTGGCAGAGCCTACGTCATAATTTGTGGCAGCGGGGGCCTGCGTTCGCGCGGCCCCTTCCCAATGTTCAGTCCAAATGCTTCACGAATTTTACTACCTCGTACGTTGATGCTCGAAGGCTGGATTGTTTGAGATTTGCTTCGGCGCCGCCGCCACTTCTCCGGTTAGTGCAACGACGGCGGCTACGAAGTCTATTAAATGCGCGACTGTTGAAGATGCCTTGCCTTCTCATTTCTTACACCAATAACACATTTTCGACGGTATGATTCATCCTCTGGATTTTTCATTTTCGCTCGTTTTCTAGCTTATCCGCAATTGCAATGTAGTCTCATTCTCTATTTGATTTTTTTCTCTAGATTTTTGCCATTTTCGCCTGTTTTCTCGGCGTTTTTTAGTTCATCTGAAATTTCGCTTTTGTTTCTCTCTAAGAAAAGAGAATTCTCGGTTTGATTATGATGTGTTTTGTATTGGCAGGATTATGTTCCGACTGTTCTTGGCAATTTCAGCGCCGATGTTTTGGTTAATCGGCAGTTCTTAATCAGAGCTTCAAGGACACTGCTGGTGATTTCCATTTCCTCTGCTTCTGATTATCACGCTTTATTTATTCTGTTTTGTTATTAAATTGTAGCGATTTTCTTTTCTGAGATTTCTATCTGTTCATCTGTTTAATCTTAAACCCTAATCGACTCAAATCGCCACTTCCAATGAAGTATGAAAACCTTTAAATCTTGCAAGTGGAGTGACGATTTAGGAGACTTTAGCGAATTACAAGACAAATGAAGTCTTTAAGATCACAGGATCGAATCGAAACCAAACACAAACTATAATCACCATCGGATTGTAGATTATCACCCGAGTTTTCTTGTCGTAGATTTTATTTTTGTTTTATCAACAGGTATAGGATTTGGATATCTGAAAAGGTTATATATCAAGTACTTACAGGAAATGGAGATGGACTTTTAAGTTGAAACTATATTTCAAAAGGTTTCTTCTCAGAATGTGTTCCAAATCTTTCCGGTTTGTAAGCTACTCCATAGATCGTTTCGTTATTGTTCTTCACTTGTTTCTTTTGTCATCGACAATAATCAGTTTATTGTTATAGTTGGAAGGGAAATCCAGTGGAAAAGTAAAGAGCAAGAGTTCTTTTTCTAAAGGCACTCTACATCATTATTGTAACAGCTCAAGTTCACCGCTAGCAGATATTATTCTCTTTGGATTTTTCCTTTTGGGTTTCCCCTCAAAGTTTTTATAATGCGTTTGTTAGGGAGAGATTTCCACGCCCTTATACAAAAATGCTTCGCTCTCCTTTCCAATCGATGTGAGATCTTATAATCCACCCCCCTCTTCAGGGCGGCCCAATGTCGTCACTGGCACTCATTCCTCTCTCCAATCAATGTGAGATCTCACAATTGTCTTTTAGAAATATGTGAATGATGGAAAGCTTGATAGACAATCTTAGCTTGCAAACTGAGTATAGCTCAATTGGTTCAATGCGTATATCCTTGATTAGGAGGTCAAAAGTGCGAATTTCCCCATTCCCATAAGTTGTTCAACTAAAAAAAAGAGAAGTCAACCATAACTACAAAGCCACTAGAACAATGGTTCCTCTTAAGATCCACAATCATCGAGATTGGAGAAAGATTTTAAACTGAAGCCTCCAAACAAGCCATCACCTGAATAAGAACGGGACTACTAGGACGCAATCCAAACTTGGGGACACACTATGCAAGGAGTGTTAGCAATGGCCCCTTGCATAGGCGTCTCTACAATCTTGCTTGGATCAAACTTTAGTCTTTGGTCCATTTTAAATTGGGTACTCCAATCTTTAAGAAGACGATATTGCCACTGTATCAAGTTAAGATAATTTCAACTGTTCAACTAATATGATACCAAAGTGCTGTGTCAATGTTAAACGGATACTTTTACTGGTTAATAAGATTATAACAGCAAAGACCTTTGAGGGCCACCTCCTTGCCTACTCGTTTCTCTAAATGTCTATTGTTCTGTAATTTCTAGGGGAAGGTTATTCTTGAAGCTCCTACTCGTCCCCCACCTGCGCCTACTCTTGTTCCTCAATGTTCTTTGCATTGTGTGATAGTGTTCTGATTGGCAGTCCTATCCTGTTGCTTGGGATGGCCGATCTGATAGACGGCGAACAATTCCTCTTGGACTATCCTGGGGTCGGATCAACACTTGGAGCTATTTCATTTTCATTTTAATCCCAATTTTTGGTTCTGTTACCCATCAATTAAAACTGCTAGAATATATTGCATTCTCTGTGTTATTCACAATATTCCGTTTCTCAAAGTTTTTATGGAAAGTAAGTTTTGTTGTCGAGGATTATTGAGAGGAATAGTTCTAGATTGGCTAATTAAGAGGAAGATTATGAGTTTATAAGTAAGGAACACTATCTCCATTGGTATTAGGTCATTTGGAGAAACCAAAAGTAAAACCACGAGAACTTATGCTCAAAGTAGACAATATTATACCCTTGTGGAGAGTCGTGGTTTCTAACATAGTATCAAAGTCATGTCCTTAACTTAGTCATGCTAATCAAATCCTTAAGTGTCGAACAAAAATGTTGTGAGTCTCGAAGGTGTAGTCAAAAGTGACTCAAGTGTCGAACAAAAATGTTGTGAGTTTCAAAGGTGTAGTCAAAAGTGACTCAAGTGTCAAACAAAACAAAAGGTGTATTTTGTTCAAGTGCTCTAGAGAAGGAGTCGAGCCTTGATTAAGGAGAGGTTGTTCGAGCTCCAGGTGTACTTTGTTCAAGGGAAGGGATTGTTGAGGATTATTGAGAGTAGTCTCACATTGGCTAATTAAGAGGAAAGATCATACTCTAGTAGATATTGTTCTCTTTGAGCTTTCACTTTCATGCTTCCTCTCAAGGTCTTAAAACACGTCTATTAGGAAGAGGTTTCCATACCCCTATAAGGAATGCTTTGTTCTCCTCTCCAACCCATGTGGAATCTCACAATCCACCCCTCTTGGGGGCCCAACGTTCTCGCTGGCACACTGCTCGGTGTCTAGCTCTGATACGATTTGTAACAGTCCAAGCTCACCGCTAGTAAATATTGTCCTCTTTGAACTTTCTCTTTCGGGCTTCCCCTTACAATATTAAAACACGTATGTTAGGAAGAGGTTTTCACACCCTGATAAAAAATACTTTGTTCTCCTCTCCAACTGATGTAGGGATCTCACAAGTATAAAGTCAAACAAATAGATGGTCATTTTGGTTTAGAATAACCGGTTGGTTTCTCGATCAATGTAGGAGATAGAAGTAAGATTTAAGCTATAGATTTTTTAATACCATATTCCAAGAACACCATAATATGCTTGTTTTTGTGGACCTATTACTTTTATTGTACATGACTGACTGCATGGATTAGCTCAATGTACATGCATTAAGTGAATTTGAAGGCTCTTGTGGTCTTCGGTTCTCATGGCTGCCTTTGATGCTGCAATTAAGATGGTTCCTCAACCTCCATAATCAAGAAGCCAAAGAGAAAACATTCCATCTGCAATGCTCTTCGATCAAGTTACTCACCGATCCCGTTTATGTGGATTACTTATATCACTCGGTGTATTTTAACGATTGTCTTATTGTATCTATTGCTGATCATTGATTTCTCTTGTCGTCGAGTCTCGAACATAAGGAGAATCCTTCCTACATTTTGAGAAGTTCTTTGAGGAGACTATCATCACGAGACTAGTGTTTGTGCAAGTACTTGAATTTGTATCTCATGGTTGTTATGGGCATGTGAATCGTTTAATCTACATCCAACGGTTATTAAAGAGTTGTCACAACATTGCTTGCTTGATCAAATAACTTTTCATACATTTTGAATCTCTTGATAACAGTTAACACCATTCAACGAGTTTCTTCTTTTGATGTAAACTTTGATTGTCGATCAATCTTATGAGATCTCACATCGGTTAGAGAGGGGAATGAAACAGTCCTTATAAAGGTGTGGAAAACTATCCATAATAGACACGTTTTAGAATCGTGAGGTTGATAGTGGATACATAATGGGCCAAAACGGACAATATCTGCTAGCGGTAGACTTGGGTTGGTATCAGAGTTAGACATCGAGCGTTGCAACGAGGACGTTGGGCTCCCAATGGGGGGAATTGTGAGATCTCACATCGTGGGGGAGGAGAACAAAGCATTTCTTACAAAGGTACGGAAACCTCTTTCTAATAGACACATTTTAAAACCGTGAACTTAACGACCCAATGGGTCAAAACGGACAATATCTACTAACGGTGGGCTTGAACTGTTATAGATCCTCTCCTATTTCAACTTGTATTATCAAAATAGTCAACGTGATCCCGAGTGCTTCGAGCAGAAGGAACGAAGGAAATAACAAATCAAACGAAATAAACTTCATAGAAAATTATATAGAATGATCCATTATAATTGTTTATGAGTCCCTGCAAAGTTGACTATTAGAATTATTAATCTTTCAAATGCAAAGCCTAGGAAACAAAATTGTGTATTGGAATTAGGGAGGCTTTAAACGAACGACATGTCGGAATCCTCCCTCCCTCTTGCCCAGATCCGTAAATATTGCCACTACAAAGCGTGAAGTGAAAACGTCAACTCCTCCCATTTCAAGCAACCTTAACTATTTATTAAATTTTAAGGGTATATTAATAAAACTATACCGCTCTTTAATTTTTTTTTAAATTTAAATAAATAATATATTTAGATGAAAATAAATAATATTTTTAGTTTGCTAAAATTCTCGTAAATAATCTCTACCATAACATATGTATGTATATTTATTATTTATTTATTTTTACTTTACTATAAAAAAATAAAAATAAATTGTTCTAAGAAATTAAAATAAAATAAACGAAATTAGTGATTTAATCGTCACAATTAATTAAACACTAAATTAATAAATACAAAAAACCATAAATTTTGTAATTTATATTAAAAACTAGAATTTATATTTTTTTTAACTTTTATAAATAAAAAATAATAAATTATTGCCGTCAATATCTGAACAAAAAATTGTATATTTTTTCATTTAGAATTAAAAGTGAAAATTTTAATTTATTTTAAAATTTAATTGTATTATTAAAATATTTAAAAATATTTTTTTAGAGAAAATATAAAATATATTTAAAGGTTGAGAACAAAGCAGCTATTAAGAGTCCATCATCACTCTCCCACTCTGTTCATAAGAGACGAAAAATTTAAGCGAGAGAAGAGACAAAAAGAGCGAGAATGGATTTCCCGCCGATGAAACCTCCTCTCATAACTTATGGATTTCTCATACTGTTCTTGATCGCTTCCTTTCTGTTGATCGTCATTGGTCCTTCTTCTAGTTTGAATCCTCTGGTTTTTTTTCCCACAAGCTTCCAATGCCATCGCTCCACTTCAGTACGCTCTCTCACACTCTCTGAAATTATCTAGGGCTCATCCTTGTTCGACTGCATTGAAATGATTTTTTATTACGATCGATAACAATAATCGCTGATGATTTTTGATTTTTTTGATTTTCAGGTTGAATCGCTCGATTCACGAGACGAACTTGATTTGGTGCTGGAGAAGGCGGCGATGGCGAACAGGACAGTCGTAATCGCGGTGATTAATAAAGCGTATGCGGATCAAGACGTGAAAGACGATACTACGATGTTCGATGTGTTTCTTAGTAGCTTTTGGATGGGAGAAGATACTCGACGATTGCTCGATCATCTTCTTCTCGTCGCTGTCGATCAAACGGCGTATGATCGTTGCCGATTTCAGCGGCTGAATTGCTTCAAATTGGAGACGGAAGGCGTCGATTTCGGTGGAGAGAAGCTTTACATGTCTGACGAATTCATCAAAATGATGTGGAGAAGAACTCTGTTCCTTCTTGAAGTTCTCAAGCGCGGTTACAGTTTCATTTTCACGGTAATCATTTCATCCTTAATTTAATTTCTTCATGAGATTATCGATCGACGTTGATTTCGATCGTATAACTTCAATCCATTAACAATGGAGAGAAATCCTGGAGAAATATTCGCTGGATTATTCACTTCGAGCGTGTGTTCAAACCGCCGAATCGAATAGCTCGGGATTGTGGCTTTCTTTTGAATTAGCAAAATTTTCAAAATCCACTGATTTCTAGAACACATTTGATTTGATTATTTACTTAAAATATCATTTCAAATAATTATCATCGATATCGCAACCATCATTTTCCTCTTTTGCATTCGTTTTATAATTTTCAATTTTTTTTAATCCAATTTCAATTCTAGACGACTTTTTTTTCCATCCATTAGGGATTTTTTTAATCTAATTTTGGTATGTTAGGTTTTTATATGTTTTATTCCCTAAAATACATTGCATTAGTAACGAATAAACCATTTATAATTTCTGATTTTAAATATAGTTTTAAATATATATTGGTCTGATAGATTAACTAAAACTCCATAAAATTTTAAATATTTAATTCGTGTCACAACTAATATTTAATTCCGAAAGAATAAATAATTAATTTTTTTTATATAAAATTAAAATAAATGTGTATATATGATTGTATAATAAGCAAAAATATATTTTTGGGAATATTTTTACTTTGTAGTTAGAAACTAATTAATCAATTATATTTTATTATTATATTTATGACTTGTTTTAAATTATAATAAATTTATTAATTGACCTCTAAAAAAATATATTAAATTATTAAATTATTGTTATTTTTTAATAGTATTTGTGTCATAAATGGAAATATTATTGAATTATAATTATTTTTGAACAGGACACGGATGTAATGTGGCTGAGGGACCCATTTGGAAAGCTGAGCAAGGATGAAACAGAAGATCTTCAAATAAGCACAGATCACTTCAACGGAAATCCATGGTCCTCCGCCAATCCCATCAACACCGGCTTCTACTTCGTCCGATCCAACAACAGAACCATAGCGCTTTTCGATCAATGGTACTCCATGAAGAACACCACCGCCGGCCAAAAGGAACAGGACGTTCTCTTCAATCTCATCCGTGCCGGCATAATCCGGCGGCTCAATCTCAAGGTCAGGTTTCTCAACACTCTCTTTTTCAGTGGGTTTTGTCAGAAGAGTAGAGATTTCAACCAAGTTACCACTGTCCACGCCAATTGCTGTCGGACTATCGTCGCTAAGATTGGTGATCTTCGGGCAACTCTCGGCGATTGGAAACGATTTAGGAAGTCGACCAATGCGTCGGAGATTTTCTGGTGGTCGGATCACATTGGTTGCAAGAATTCTTGGAGACATTGACGGTATAGACACCGAATGTTATTTATTTTTCTTGTTCTAAGAAAGTTTTAGGACGTGGAGGGTAGGATAAAGGGATTTTGGGTTTGTATGATTACTATTTAACTATATTTGTAGATGAAGACCGTACAAAATTTAATCAAGCTTCGAATTATTAATTTCTATAACTTTACTTTTTTTCAATAATTTAATGATTAATATTTTATTACTTTTCGACATTTTTGTAAGAATTAATAATTTTCATACAACTTGGACAACCATAAAAAAGTGCTGAGAGATTAAAAGAAACTAATCTGTATAATAACTGAACCTTAAAAAATTGGATACTGTAACCAATCTTCTGAAATAAATCAGATGTCTAAATTAAATAATCGTTCGTAATTTAGGACATTCGAATCATAACATACATACACCAATGTCGAACAATCCTATGTTTTGTGCATATAAGGAAACCACTCGAATCGAACCAAATTTCACCCAGAAGAGGTTCATGCAACGAACTCTATTTCAATTGTTCAAAATAAACATAATATATACATACATACATCAGCCTACAGATACAAATAAAGCGATGCCAACACAAAAGAAAAAAATTATAGCTTCGAACGATCTCGATGCTGCCAAAACCAAAGCGATGCAACCTCATGCCTAACTACACTAATCAATCAATATCCTGAAACTTTGGAATCAATATAGAAGAGGAAGAAGCCCTAATTTGGTATTTCTCATAGGTGAAATAAAACTCAGCCATCTACCAGTTTCTTGAACAAAATCATTTCACTCCTAATTCTAAATCATATCCTTCTATTTGGGTGCCTGCCATGACCAATAATATCGAATGCCTTAAACCTTACGTCCCGATTAAACCAAAAAAAGAACGAAAATCAGACTTATGTTGCTTCCATCTTCCAAACAAAATGAAAAGGAAACGTGTCGGCCTCACCCTAACCGACCCCGTCCACATCTCAGAGCTAACAACTTGAAAGAACGTAAGAAATGAACTGTCAATTCCAAAAATTGTACCCCACCTAGTCTAAGAAAGAACTAGAATACCAATAAGTTACAATAGATATATTGAATAAAAGTCTCCAAGTCTCTACTTAAGCCAATAAATAAACAGTAACAAATATATGGAGCACTACTCCACTTCAGGGCCTTTCATCAGGACTAGAAAGTATCCAAAAAGCTCAACATTTCTTGCATCAAATAACCACATCCGCTATTTACTTTCATATTAATCATATGTGCCTGTTGCTAACTGTTACCGTAGAGGGTTCCAAGACAACACTGCTCCAATACGTATAATACGAAATCCACTTAACCCCCATATTTGATGTCCGTACTCCAAAACAAAAAGGGGATACAAAACCACCCCACCTTCCACTATTCGGGACGTGTTCTCAAGAGAAAACATACATAAATGCAACTTATGAATATGCACAATCAGGCACGTCTTTCTTCATTTCTGAATACGTCACGAGTTCCCTTACATGGTCCAATTACAAATATCAAAAACCAGCAAGGTCTTAACAACTTAACCAGTATGTTACGTCATTCGATCATACTCTAGAAATAAAGTTTAGAGGCCGGTAATCTTGATAAATTTTCCTTCCCAGAATGGTAGAGGCAGATAATGCAAAAGCTTCCAAACATTGTTCACATCCTACAGGAGCCTCTTTATCATATCAAGTCTGTTCCATAAACAGATAACTTGTGACCATATTGTTCCACTTCCACTAAACACTCTTCTTAGGGGGGAAAAGAAAAGAGAATGGAATCTCCTTCATAGGAAGAAAGAAAAGATCTACAACTTAGAAAAAGAGGGAGGGGAAATAAAAGGAGAAAAGGAAGAAAAAGGAGAAACAGAATTATGGATGAAATGGAACAAAAAAGGTGAAATTTGACTCACATCAGTAGTAAGATCCAGACCCGCCACCATTACCCATATAACTGCTGCCCCCCGCACTGCGCCCATGGTACATTGATGAGTAAGAGCTGCCACCCACCTAGCAAAAACAAAAGACATCTCCTCAAAATGAGAGAAATCAATAACACAAAATGTATGCACAAAATAATAATAATAATAATCATACATTGCTACCACGTGTCATGTAATCACCACCATAGCTGGACGAGTACATTCCACCAACATCACTACTAAAAGAACCTGAAAAATCAATGGAAAATCATAAGCTTACAACAATGTTATACACTTGTCAACCTAGCATCACATGCAACTTCCTCCGTATCCAACAGCCTGCTGGCTGCCACATACACCCCTATTATAAGCCCTGACCTGAGATGGAGCTTCGACCATCATATCCACCAATGTTTGATCTCCCAATCCTATCAACCAGATGACATCTGAGTTACTAAAAATATAAAACTACAAGTCAAAGAATTAGTAAAATGCAATTACATCTTCTCTAATAAAATACTTGATATTTGATTTATCATCTATTCCTCCATCTCTGTGCTCCAAGGATGGGGGGAATTTAACAAACCTGCTGTCGTAGGCATCTCCATATTGAGAAGCACCAGCACCATAATCATAGTCCAAACGACTTCTTGATTGTCGAACACCAGCATCAGCATAAGCTGGAGGCACATCACTCTAAAATTTGGCCAAAAAAGTTAGTTGGGGCATTGTAATGGGAAATCAAATGCAACAAGTACTAAGAAAAGCAAATAATAAATCTTACCAATGAAGAATATGGACGTTTTGATCCAATTAGGGAATCATAATCACGTGCACGAACATCACGGTAGCTTGGAGGAGGGGGTCTCTCAAACCTTCGACCATAATCATCGTCCACATAAGCTCTCCTAGGCACATCTCTCCTAGGTGGATCTGAGAAGGCAGTTGTACGAGAAGAAGCATATTCCTCTCTGTAAGATGCATTTCGATCAGGTACAACCCTGGAGGAATAATCAACAAGTACCCTGCTTCTGGATGGATGCAGCTCCTCATGTCGACCATACTCCCTTTTAAAACTACTCTTTGAGTAAGAAGCAACTGTACAAATAAACCAAAAATTAACAACTTCAAGTTGAATATAGAATTCATCAGTCATTAAAAATGATGCATACCAGGAGGTCCCCTGTCATAAGACCTTGCTACAGGAGCAATAGGTCTTCCTCGTTCTGGCATTGCAATGACAGGACGTCTATCTCTAACCCCACCAGGCCTCTTTACACTGACCGGTGGGAAATGGCTGCCTACACCTCTTACTCGAACTGGAAGACTTTGTGGAGCTGGTCGCCCCCAAGAACCCCTTAATGCTCGTCCAGTTGCATGCCCAGGCCAATAATCTGCACGACTTGCATGTTTTCCTTTACCCCTTTGCAGTGGTCTGGATAATCTAGCCCTTACTTTAGCCTAATAGACATAGAAATTGAAGAAAAAAAAAAAGCATGAGTTGAATTAAGAACAGAAACCTGAGAAGAACCGTAAAAATTAAATCCCATTAGTTCTTCAAGAAACTACACACCTTGTTGTCCCCTTCACCCAGCTCTGCGTTGTTAATACTTTTTGCACAGAAAACTGCAGCATCATGTGTGTCAAATGTAACAAAACCAAAGTCCTTTCTCTTTGCTGAAGGCATATTTCGGGCAAGCTCAATTTTTTCAATCTCCCCATACTTCTTAAGAAGTCCTCGAACAAATACCTCATCCCATGAGCCAGGGAGACTATCAACAAAAACAGTCTTGACCTGTTTGTGTGACACAATAACAATTGCATATCATTGCATTCTAACAGAAACAGTGTGAAAATGATAGCTACATATCAACTACATACGATGACGGATGAAAAGATGAACCAGAATGCATGAAAGACACACATCCAGCCGACTGAACATGAGGAACACTTGCAGAAAAAAATTTACAAAATAATAAACAGGTATTAGACAATAAAATCATATATATTGGAACACAGTAGCTAAACAACGTACATACTAAAAGAAAGAAATGTTGAATACTTCATCAAAAGATAATTTCTGACCTCTACAAGCTTAAAACAGTGTGGGTAGTAACAATAATTTAATTCCAATAGGTTAATTCACCAGAAAAATTAATTACACAGCACTTCAATTGAATAATGTCAAATAGTTATCTCAATGCTAACCTGGGCCATAATTTCATCACCAGGATCTATAAAAGAATCTGCAAAAGACACTTTGGCAGGTCTATCGACTCCAAATACAACATCCCTTTTTTGAAGACGCTTGAAGGCATCCATGGCATCTAAGCGAGATGAAAATTCCAAAAAAGCAAATCCACGATTTAATCCTTCATTATTACTATCTTCTACCAAAGTCAGATCCTCAACATTATCAACTCCATAATGTTTCAACTTCTCCTTCAGCTGGATCCATATATAGGAATATCATAGTGTCAGGAAATTTACAACTCGTGTACAAAAAAAAAACTCACTGATCAATAGAATGTGAAAAATCCACAACTTACAACATCCTTTTTCCATGTCTTGCATATGTTACCAAGAAAAAGGGTGTCACTGTCTTGACTTGGAGTCACACCACATTGTTTCCCATTAATCTGGAATTTCATTAATTTAAATAAAATAAGCTGGAGGTGGTATATCAAAGTCTTATCAATTTCATCATCCTAAAAAAAGAGGAAATGATTAAAGGGCCAAAATTACCACTGGATTCTTTAGCTCTGACACAGCACGTTTTGCCTCTTCAACTGTAGCAAAACGTAAAAATGCAAAACCTTTATTCTTCTTCGTCTGAGGGTTCATCATTAGCCTGACTTCAGTAACTTCACCAACTGCACTGAAAACTTTCTTTAAATCCTCCTCCTTTACATCCTTGTCCAAGCCCCCAACAAACACTTCAAATTCTTTGCGCTTACGCCTCTCCTCTACAACTTCATGATGCTCATCCTCATCAGCATCAACCATGCCAGCATGCTCATGGCCTTCAGCAACTTGCTGATCATCCTCCTCTCCCTCATGATCCTCCTGAACATCCTCAACATCATCTACCCCCATAACACCCTCCCCATCGCCCACATTGTCCTCAGGTTCACCCTCTCCATATACCATGTCCTGAACATCCGCTTGTCCAATTTCTTTTTCATCAAACTCCTCCTCAGGTTCTGATTCAGGATCATTGTCTTCAAGATCCAA